ACAAGCTAAAAACATAACTACTAGGTTAGCAGACCCCAGCACAAGCAACTTCCCTACTGCTCATCTTAACAACAGATCCAGAAAGTATTTTCTCCTCCTTGCGTGGGGGCAGTATGCTTTAAACACTAAAGGTGATTGTGGAAAAAAGGGGGAAAAATTAATATATACCTTTCTGATGTCAAGGCTCCTATGAGCTTAACCAAGGCGCACAATTCCCACTATGTAGCTTGATGACCTTCTAAACTGAATCAAAATCAAAGAGTTCAAACTGCAGGAAATAGCATTTTATCACAATGGCTCAGGCAGCCATTGTCAATAAGCAGCATTACTAACAAGTGTAGACAGATTCATTTCAAATAAAAAGTGCCACGCTTTTACAAAAACATGCTATCCACTTCTTCCGCCAACCACGCAAATCCCTCACATGTTAGTTTCCTGTGTGTGCTATGTGTGTTATATGCCTGTGAGTTATTTACATGGACATGTTATATGAGAAAATACAGTACTTCTTTAACATTTATAAGAAGCTCTGGTGGCACAGTGCCTAAGGCACTTGCCTGCTAACCAGAACATTGGCAGTTCAAACCCACCAGCTGCTCTGTGGAAGGAAGATGGGGCAATGTACTTCTGTAAAGATTTACCGCCTTGGAAACCCAATGGGGGTCACTGTGAGTTGGAATCGACTTGATTGCAGTGAGTTTGGTTTTAGTTTAGTTTTTTAACATTTATACTATATCTGTGAATTACAACTCCAGGTTCACCTCTCATCAACGTTCATCAGAGAACGTTTAATATAACAAACTACATTTTTGTCTACATAAAATTTTATGATATACTTACAGTTTCACAAGTAAGACATCTGGTTTCGTTAGTTAATGTTCCCTGAAAAATCTCGTGGACCCACGTCGGGTCTGCTGTGCTGTTGTTGTTTTCGCTGTCAATGTTGCCATTGGGTAATCGGCCATTTTGTTTTTCCTGCTTTCTCTCTTCTTGCAAAATATCAGCAATTGTATTTAGTAGGTAATTTAAGAATTCATGGGCATCTTGCTGCATGTAGTTGTCAAAAAGCTCTAAAAATTTTAAAAAACAGCATTAGGTAATTCATTTGGAGTTAATAACATCAACCAAATTTAAAAAAAAAAACAAGAATTGTCTAGTATTCTGTCAGAACATCATACAAATGTTTGGTATTTCAGGAAAGGTGCTGCACAAGAACTATATGTTCACATCTCAAAGACTGTGGCTGTGTCTGGGGGAAAAGTTAGGCTGAATGACCATCTTTTCTACAAAACAATATAATGGGTTCATGAAACAAGGGCAAATTATAGCCAAACATACATGGTGGATAATGAGAAGAAACTTTTCTTTTTAATTAGCACATTAATTCTATTATCACGCAAATACTGGAAGATGGCAAATTTAAAAGCAGACCTCTTTTGATGACCCTCTTGCCAACGCCTAACTAGCTACAGTCAGATGAAAAGTCTGTTTGAAGTATAAATTACATCCTAGAGATTATTGCTCAGTAGTAGGATCAGGGTGACGCCAGGAACCTGGGGTTTCCCAAGTTCCTCCAGGTGATTCTGTGCAACTGAGATTTAGGGTTTGGATGCAAGTGACAGGCACGTGATATGCTTTTTTGCCATCCCTATAACCCTCCTGCACTATTTTCATAAGCACGCTATGCCACACATTATCAGTGTGGATGTGTCATTTACAAGGCCATGTTATTTGTGAAAAAATACAGTGATAGGATCAGGAATTCTTCTCAGATCCCTTGCAAATGTGAGACTTTATAACTCTATGAAATGTTGTGTATAATGCAAATGAGTAAACATAATAGAAATGCCACTCATTAGGCCGGTTGAGCTGGTTTCAATTCATACGGACCCCGTGCACAACACAAGGAAACACCGCCCAGTCCCGCATCGTCATCACAACCACTGCCAAGCTTGGACCCGTCACTGCAGCCACTGTGTCACTCCATCTCAGTCAGGGGCTTCCCCCTTTTTTTGCTGACTCTCTACTTTCCATTTAGCATGATGTCCTTCTCTAGGGATGGGTCCCTTCTGACGGCATGACCAAAGTAGGTGAGACAAAGTCTGGCCATTCTCGCTTCCCAGGAGCATTCCAGCTGTCCTTCCTCCAAGTGGACTTGTTCACTCTAGCAGTTGATGGTACACTCGATATCCTTTGCTAACACCACAATTCAAATGCATCAATTCTTCTGCAGGCCTCCTTATTAACTGTCCAGCTCTCATATGCATATGAGGCTACTGCAAATATGATGGCTTGGGTCAGGTGCACCTTAGTCTTCAAATGACACCTTTGCTCTTAAATACTTTCAAGAGGTCTTTTGCAGCAGATTTGCCCAA